GTTACCTGTATAAAATACACCTGGGAGCCAGAGATCTTGCTGACTGATAGGGGATCAAATACTTATTTCATTCATAAAAATGCAAATTAATGTATAACTTTTTTTGTAATGCATTTTTCTGGATTTTTTTTGTTATTGTTGTGTCTCTCACTGTTCACATAAACCTACCATTGACATTGTAGACTTATCATTTCTTTGTTAGTGGGCAAACTTACAAAATCAGCTGGGGTTCAAATAATTTTTTCCCTGACTGTATATTGTGTCTGTATGTATACTGTATGTGTATCATCAATGCAATGACAAAACAAAGTAAAAAAACCTTGCTGATAAGTGCTGATGGCATAAAAAAGAAACTCACAGGACTTAGATTCTGGTGAAGGAGGGGAGATGCTCGAAACAGCCAGGTCACTCTTGGATTTCTTTGGTTTCTTTGGGTGAATTTGCCATGGCTTCTCATAGTTGCTGTACTCCCTTCGAGTGTTTTTGCTTTCTGTTAGGAGAAACAGACACAGTTAAGTTTCACAATACCCTTTTATGCAAACTTTAGAGTATACATGCATGTCAGGTTGCAAGCTCTGTTGTCTCTGTCACAGGTGCAGATTAATGGCTGTTTTTTAAGATACCGTTTACCATATACTGGGGGTAATATGGAGAGAAGCACATAATATACAAAGACAGAGGCCTTATTCTGCATGCGTGTGTGTGTGTGTGTGTGTATGTGTGTGTGTGTGTGTGTGTGTGTTCATAAAGCAGGCTTGCATATGTGTGCACTAACCTGGGGAGCTCTGTGCCCACAGTGCTGCAGAGCCAGAGAGAGCTCTGTGCAGCTTGCCATGGCTGTCTTGCTTGGTCTGCAGGTGATCAATGAGAAAAGGAATTGGATGGTCTGGCGTCTCAGTTATCAATTTGGTCATCAACTCCTACAGAAGCAGAGCAAAGCAGAGGCCAGTTATATGAAAGTGGGAGAATGAGAGTATGGCCAGTGAAGTATCCACCATACTGAAGTAGAGACAATCAATCCCTACAGGCTTTATGAGTCTTGTTTTGTAGCTGACTTTACTATCAGGGGAGAGAGGTCTAGTGAGCGGTAAGGGACGAGATAATCCTCTACCTTAAAAAAATAAAAAGTCAAGCCAAACAACAATAGTACGAAAATACTTCTCTTCTGTGTCAGTTAGGAACAAACTCTCTGCAAGCCCCATCAAAATCAGATCAAACACGCAAGTAAACAAACACTGCAGTTTGATTCATTAGTGCATAAAGCAGTGCTATTAAGCAAAAGGATAAGCCATGTCTCAAAAAAATGGATCTGATATACTGGGTCTGATGCTGCTTTAGATGGCAATATATTTCTTTGTTAGCTCTCTCCTCATATATCCTTGCATCTTTTTGTGTTTGATCAAAGACACAAAGAAAGAATGCAAGTGAGAGATGCAATTAAGGGAACTGAGATGTACTAAAATATATCCAGTGGGATTGTACAATGATGTGCCAATGTCACAGCTATGCTATGCTGCCCCATGAGTTTTAAATTAATAGACACACCCTCATAAAAACTTAATTATACACCTGGTAAAAACAAAACAAATGTGATGTGATAAGTAATGAGGACATTTCACAGGATACCATAAACTACCTCTGGCACCAAAGCAAAACTCTTCTTTTGTTACAGCTACGGTGAATAACTGGCTCAGTGAAGGTGATGTGTGATTGTGAAATGAGCATTCGTGTGGTTGTGTGATGTGATACAGTATGAGAGTGATGTCTGTTTGAGAGCTTTAAGCCAGCGAGAACAGCTGAGGCTGACGTCTGGATTATTACTGCAAACAAGCAAAGAAAGTCATTAGTGGACTGCAGTGAAATGGCAGTAATGGATACAATGAGTGTGTGGCATGTGCACAAATGTTTTAGTTTGAAGCTGTGGGGACATTTTGGCCAGTCTTCACAACTTCAAGGGGCTGTTTGAGGGTTGGTTTTAGGGTTCAAGCTAGAATTATGTTTACGTTATACTAATGTGTGTCATTACAACTACAGAAAGATAAATGTGTAAATATGTGTGCGTGTACATGACTAGCACATATTGTGTAGACATGCTTATGTGCAACAGAATTGTGTAGCCGTACCTTGGCGGCTGGCATCTGTTTGCCCTTGTGGGCATGCTCATGCACCGCCATATCTGTGTTTTAGTGGGATGGGAAGGACTACAGGGAGACAGCCAGTGTGTGTATTACAGCTGGCTAGCCTTGGCTGTGCTGTGTGTGCTCTGAAAGCTAATCAGATAATTGGTCAGGGGGACATTCCTGCCAGGCCTCAGTGTGTACAGCAGATCTGACAGCAAACAACATGTGAATGGACAAACAGGGATCATGTTTAAGTGTTTCACTGAGGGACCACACTCCTCTGCCTGCAAGAGATAAAGCTGAAGTGATATACACAGTCTTCAGGTAAGAACAATGAAGTTATTTTTGAGAACTAGCCACATGGGATAATCCTCTATGCACACTAACAGTTTAATAAAGTTCTCTCTTCTCACAGCTGCAATGGATTTCTGTGCCCTTTGTCTAACAATTACAAACCACTAACGAAACTAGCAAACATGTAAAACTTGTAATTACTGCTTAGCAGCGCTTATGAGTAACTCATTTAACATTCCTACAGGAGGTCTATAAATGAAGGCTGTAATTTGGAAGACTGCACAGGAAGCTAAACTAGCACAACTCTGTTAACTACCCCGGGGTTTCCAAGTCTTAATAGTTTTCATGAGGAAGGGGTAAAGGAGACATGCCGTTCTTTTAATGGCCGACTGTTGAGAGATGATTTTCATGATTGTTTCCCAGTGGGAACCGCACACATACGCAGAAGTGCAGAAGAATTAAATGAGGTATGAACAGTGACAAAGTGCAAAGACAGATGGACAGATCCTGGAGATTGTTAAAGGGATGGCAACACATGAGTATATTCTACAATTCTGCCCCCACCTGTACTGTAAAAACGCTCCTGTGCCAACATATACAGTAATGAAAGCATATCCTATAGAGTGTTTTGTATCCAGCTGCCGAATGAAGAAATGCACCCTTGCACATTAGTGTCCTTCATATCATAAAAAGGCAAGCAGGCATACTATAAGTAACAGATCCAACCCTATCTGCATGGTGAATATGCAGACATTACATAACTCACATATACAGCAGAGCAAGGTAACTGTAACCGACACTTCACTTTATATGCTAATCAGACACTATAAATAACACGAGTCCTGTTTGATAAGACCATGCACATTGGTAATCAGAATTTCTTTGACAGGGACCATAGTAACATGTAAGCCTGAATTTGGGTAAAAAAAATTTTTTTTAAACAAGTAGACTTTAATAGTGTTTAGCTCAGAGTGACTTACATCAGCAAAGCTGCATCCCCAACATCTTTTTGTATATGTGTGAGAGAGATAAAGAGGGGAAGAGTTTCAGTCTCTGCACCGGTGCTCTGTGAGCAGGCCAGCAGGTGGAGTGTGCAAATGAGACATGCAGTTCAGTTCATATCTGTGCTTATCGGGTTTTGGTCGAGATATCTGTGTGCCCCAGGCAGTTTGCTTTGGTAACTGACAAGCTGACAGCCAGCCAAGAGACACCCATGGCCTTGGAATCTTTCAAGGACTCCCTCCAGGGACAATGCTCCCTGCATCTCTGCAACTTAAACAAACTCCCCAAACTGAAAGAAAAGGGGAAAGAATCTGAAAAAGGAGAGGACAGCAAACAGGTAGTGATCTGAAGGTCATGTATTGGTGGTAGTTTGAAGGACAGAAGGAAACATCCACAGAGAGAGGTTCACAGTGGAATAAAAAGGAGAATAATGGAAAAAGGAGAAAACAACAGGGTGGTGAGTAAAGACAAATCCCGAGTTCAGTCTCTTGTGACAGAGAGCACCCACTCTGTGCAAGGATCCTTACGAGTATAACAATATCTTTACCAACCTGACAGGATTTTCTGTTGCTGGCACTTACTGTGAAGGCAAAAACACATTTCTACTGTGGGAATCAAAGACAGTATCTCAAAGAAACCTATAAGTACATGGTAAAAAAAAATATGGGTGGGCTGAAAAAAAAATCTGATAAAGATTGAGTTGATTTGAGTGACTTTTCTCCGTTTCTTTCACATTTAATGTACCAAGACCATATTACATACTGTATATGTGAGGTTTGACATGAATACTGCAGCAGTTTCTATGTTTCCCTAGTAAAAATCACCTGCAGCATATTCAGAATGAAAAACAATCAACACACAAATTGTGCTGTTGTGGTTCCTATCAAGTACTGTATATAAAAATCTGTATCTTTTCTTCTTGGCCTTGTATAAAATAGAAAAATAAAACTTTAAATGCAGCAACAACTCTTTCTTGACTCCCAGGAGGGCTCCCTCTCCCTGTCATCTGTATAAAGGCCACAAACTGCTGCTGATTTACCTGCTGTTTGCCAATGAAATATGGGAATAGAAAGTCATATTAAAGGTGATTTGAGGGTATGTCTCTGTGGCTGTCCAATGTGTGTCATATACAGAAAGAGGTCATTGCTGAAAAAAAGAGAGAATAATGTGATAAGCCAGTTTAGCTGCAGATGACTAGAGAGAGGCCACTGGAAGAGATCCAGACCTTGACTACGGAGGCAGACAAGAGCAGAAGACATCATACAGAAGAGGAGACTGTGTGAGAGGCAATGTCACCTGACCAGGCTTGCACTACCAGATAATACTGATCAGAAGAGATGCCCTCCCTCCTCACTTTCTTCATCCTAGCTGGAGCAGAAATGCTTATTATGACCTGGTTCCACCCACAGTAAATGTGAGTTTTTGCAGAATTTCAAAATTTTTGTACAGCTTGGTCAATTTATATTTTTGTCTTGAACCATGCACTGGACTGAAACAAATCATCCATTTTTCACTGAAGCTTTGTCAGGAAGGAAGGCGGAAACAGACAGAGGGGAAGACCAGTGACAAAGGTCAGGGGACGGACTCGGGCAGCAGACGTCGCACATGGGGTGTGACTTGGTACTGCACAAGGTGCGCAGCAGGGCACCCCATCAGTCTATTTTAAAACAATATTTACATACACATACAGTATGTACATGTAGAGTAACGTTGGTCATTGTCATTGTTCCTTTTTAGCCCTTCCTAAAGCAATTTTAAAGAAAGAGCTGCCAGAAAAACATGACTACCGGTGTGTAAAATTGTAAGAAAACACTTTCCCCAAGGAAGCACAAGACAAAGTTTTGACCCAAAAAGGCTCACTTTGGAAGACATCTTTGTGATTTGTCTAACTCAGTCTGCCTCATATTAGCTACAAGTGACATTTAGAAAGCAAAGAATGAGGACTGTGGACCCTGTCCTAAATCACTTACACTGAAACCGAGTTAGAAAGGCATCTCACCAACTAGAGCGACCAAAAACTGTTTCAGTGTACACATACTGAGTACACTGTGAGTGGTGTTTTAAGACTTAAAAAGTCCATTTCTTTTGTAAATCCAAATTTTTATGAATCCCTAATATAGAGTACACTCACATACAGGATAGAAGTATGTGCACATGCACAATAATCCCTCTGAACGAACATACACACTCATGCAGTCAGCAGCTGATCACATACTGTATAGGGCAGCGATCAAGGTTCTGTGTATCAGATGATCTCCCACACTACTAGCATGACCATTAATTACATACAGCGCTTAGGCAACACCATCCTTAGGCTTAAGTGGACATGATAACCGTGTATTTTCACACACTCCCTGCCTCCACCTTAATTCACATGCTCTAAATCTTCCTCATATTGAACTTCACTCATTGTCTCGATGCCTGATCTCACCGATATCCTTTTCCTTCCCTCTTCGCTCCTTCCTTGTACTCCCCAAGGACCATCCTAGCTTTGGGCTACTTCT